GAGTACTCAGTCTATACAGGAGTATTCAGCCTGGTAGCCTATCCCTTCAGTAAAAGTATGAGTACTCAGTCTATACAGGAGTAGTCAGCCTGGTAGCCTATCCCAACAGTAAAAGTACATGAGTACTCAGTCTTTACAGGAGTATTCAGCCTGGTAGCCTTTCCCAACAGAAAAAGTACATGAGTACTCAGTCTATACAGGAGTATTCAGCCTGGTAGCCTTTCCAAACAGTTAAAGTACATGAGTACTCAGTCCATAAAGGAGTAGTCAGCCCGGTAGCCTTTCCTTTCAGTAAAAGTACATGAGTACTCAGTCTTTACAGGAGTATTCAGCCTGGTAGCCTTTCCCAACAGTAGAATTACATGAGTACTCAGTCTATACAGGAGTATTCAGCCTGGTAGCCTTTCCCAACAGTTAAAGTACATGAGTACCCAGTCTATACAGGAGTAGTCAGCCTGGTAGCCTATCCCTTCAGTAAAAGTACATGAGAACTCAGTCTATACAAGAGTAGTTGNTAGTCAGCCTGGTAGCCTTTCCCTTCAGTAAAAGTACATGAGTACTTAGTCTATACAGGAGTATTCAGCCTGGTAGCCTTTCCCTTCAGTAAAAGTACATGAGTAGTCTATACAGGAGAAGTCAGCCTGGTAGCCTTTCCCAACAGTAGAATTACATGAGTACTCAGTCTATACAGGAGTATTCAGCCTGGTAGCATTTCCCAACAGTAAAAGTACATGAGTACTAAGTCTATACAGGAGTATTCAGCCTGGTAGTCTTTCCCTTCAGTAAAAGTACATGAGAACTCAGTCTATACAAGAGTAGTTGGCCTGGTAGCCTATCCCTACAGTAAAAGTACATGAGTACTCAGTCTATACAGGAGTATTCAGCCTGGCAGTCTTTCCCAACAGTAAAAGTACATGAGTATACTGATCACTACATTAGTGTACAGGCTAGAAGTCATTCCCCTCTGTAAGCATTAAGTAAAACCTTGTTATGCTTGCCCTTTTTGTTCTGCACCATAAAGGAGATAGATAATGTATAAAGAAAGACTTGGACAGGATTTGGTCATAAGAAACAAGGAAAAGAGGACCTTGTAATATGTGGCTGTAAACAAGTGGTAAGTGAAATGAGGGGCATTAGATCAAGGTTTTACTGTACATGTACTTACTGGGTAAGTATACAGCTAAACAGCCTCTCCCATCAGGCTTTATACTGTACATGTACTTACTGGGTAAGTATACAGCTAAATAGCCTCTCCCATCAGGCTTTATACTGTACATTAATTTTCAAACCAGATTTTTTAAATGTCAATTCATGAGAAGATTGGAATGTGAATCCAATTGGTTTGGGAAGATTTATTTATTGGCATTCAAACAAGAGAGGTATGTAGTTGAAGTTGTTCAATTTGTACATTATAATGTAATTTCTGAATTAACATGACTAGACTCTGGTCCAAACAGTAAACAGTAGGCTGTTCTTATCATTATACTTACATGAGTATACAGTCTGGTAGGCTGTTCCAGTGAGTGCACAAACCCAGGAAGTGTGCTGTTTGTGCCCTATCACGAGAGACAGCTGGGGATGCTGGAGAATCAGGGACATACAATGTAGACAACTGTTGAGGCGCTCCGATGTCGGCAGTAGGTCGTGGTGGAAATTCCAATCTATCATCTACACAATCAACCAGACAATGTATTATTACACAGATAGCCAAACCATTAATCATTTCACAGAAAAAAGTCATGTAAATAATCAGGTTCTAATGCCCGATGTGTGTATTGCACAGATTATTACTTAACAACATCATGTGATGACACAAAAATAATTTCATTTTGAGTTATAGGCTCCTGAATTAAATAAAGAGTTTCAAGCCATGTTTAGCTGTGTTATAAGACATTTTACTAGTATGTAGTTTACAAGCCATTATGACTTTCCAATATTGAATATAACAGAAAAAAAAAGAAATACAAAAAGTTAAACCCTCAAAAATTGTGAATAGTTTTATCAAGTGTTACCATGAGAAAACAGCACTTACCTCTGCACACAATACGCAGAACTGACCAATATCACAGTGAGATTCTACAGGCACCTCCGGTTGCCATGGAAATGAGGAAAAAGTTTGAATGTAAATGTTCAAAGAAGACACCAACATAAACACCATATCTGACCAAGACGTGTCGGAGAAAAAATCATCCATTTTTTCCAAATAACGTGTGCGTTTGGCAGTGTTTGCATCGGCCCCATACTTTATCACTTGGTGGGGCGTGGGTAGCATGTTGATTATGTTATTAATATGTCGGACAAGGGTCAGCTGGGCAGCCTGAAGTAAGGGGTCAAAGATTGGTTCCTGGGGGATCTTGTTGCCCTCACTGTCCAGGCTTTCAGTAGAGTCGTTGTTTTTGACAAGAGTTCTGTGAGCTCCCAATAGTATACACTCCGGGAGGATGCAGAGGTTAAATTCCTGAAACAGGATTAAATATAACTATCACAATAACCTACGAGCTCCTAATAGTATACACTCCGGGAGGATGCATAGGTTAAATTCCTGAAAGAGGATTAAATATAACTATCACAATAACCTACAAGCTCCTAATAGTATTCACTCCGGGAGGATGCATAGGTTAAATTCCTGAAACAGGATTAAATATAACTATCACAATAACCTACGAGCTCCTAATAGTATACACTCCGGGAGGATGCATAGGTTAAATTCCTGAAACAGGATTAATTATAACTATCACAATAACCTACGAGCTCCCAATAATATACACTCCGGGAGGATGCAGAGGTTAAATTCCTGAAACAGGATTAAATATAACTATCACAATAACCTACAAGCTCCTAATAATATACACTCCGGGAGGATGCATAGGTTAAATTCCTGAAACAGGATTAAATATAACAATCACAATAACCTACAAATAATTTACTTTTTTAACAAGCCATTCGGGTTGATATGTCTCGCCTGTGCCTCGCTTTGACCATCAATGCACATATCGGTGAAATAAATTCAATGTAGATGACATTTGAAATGAAACTAACCTAAACGCAAAATCTTAATGTTGATGGAGATGCTGACAACGTCAATGGACCATGAAAGGTAGGCCGCATCCAGCATTTGATGCATGGGTTGAGATGTACTACCAAATATGCATCTATGGTCCAAGTTTGGTTGGTCTAGCACTTATATTTTTAGTGAAACTAACCTAAACAGAAAAACTTGATGTTGACAATGACGCCATTGCCGGAAAAGCAACACCTTTGTCTCGCTTCAGCTACTTCATGGCGGGGAGACAAAAATGAAAGAAATGTTTTCTTAAGAAAAAAAAATTATCAATAAAACTGAAGCTCCAGGACATTGTGTTTGTACAATCCTCTTTAATAGCACAAATGACCAACAAAATATTTTATTGAAAGAGTATGGATAGGTATAACTATGTAGTACTTACCTTGGCCATAGTTACAGAGAGAATATCAGCATAGGTAAGATTATGTAGTAGTTTGGCACATTCTCTGGGATTACAGTCAACACTGTAACACTGGCTCTTCACAATAGAAACATAGCACTCCTGAAAGTGAACAACAATCCAAATATGTGATACGTATGGTGTTGAAATGTCCATAATCGTTTAAATATAAATGAATTATATTTTCAGAAGAAAACAGCAAGTCTTAGAATTTAAAAAAAATTGGTTCAAGGTAAAAACTTCTTTTTCCTGTTTGGCTTTGATATTATCAGATGACATTGAGCAGTGTAGTGCAAAATAGAAAAAGCATCAATTTTGTGCAGGAGCAACAATGCAGTGTTTGATCTCATTAATTTGAAGTTCTATACTTAGCGCAATCTAGTCATTAAAGAACATTATGGGTATTTGAACGTCAGTAGAAATCTAGCTAAGAGCTACAGAGGTAAACTAACCTTGTTGATGTGTATGTCGGACAGGGACTCCGGGACAGACAGAGGGTGACGCCTCCCTCCAACTATATCAGCTGTTTCATCTGGCTGTATCTCCAGTCTCAGCTTCTGTAGCAGGGACACTAGGCGGGCATGACTGTTAAAGACAAGTATACATGTTGTTTTGTTCCAAAATTACCAAACTTTAAAGATTAAGAAACAAACGAAAAATACCAAAGCTCTCTAATGTTTAATTATTTCCCACATTCAAAACAAACATTTCAAGTTCATTTTATAGTTTACATGAATGTTTACCCCGTCAACACTACCAACTCACCGTTTGGTAAGTTTGTTGCTTTCCATGTATTTAAGTAACTTGTCCAGATCTTCCAGGGGCAGCTGATTAAAGGCATCCTGAAGAAGAAATAATTTAATATGACATTTTTCCTGAAGAAACAAGATGTCACAATTTACATGCTGGCAGGATGTAATTAAGGATTGGTTGTCACATTTTTGATATGCATTGGTGTGTAACATACATTGGCTTACCTACATATTGAATGGTGCACGCTAGTGCACCATGTTAAATATGTAGGTAAGCCAATGTATGTAACACACCAATGCATGTCAAAAATATGACAACCAATACTTATATTTACAATTTTTGTTGATCAACTTACAGTTCACGCAGAAATAAAGACATAATATTAGTCTGAATACGTTTCAACGTCAGTGTAAGTCCATACAGAGAACAGCCACCAGTTGACAGTGGAGCAGTGCAATCTCCAACGTTAAAGTTATGATGTCATAAACGTAGCGACGTCACAATAGCCCAATGTATGTTATACGGAAATAACATACATTGGGCCCAGTAGAAACATCTAGGCTCTGTGCAGTGGAAATGTAAATATTACTTGATGGCCACTTCATATGACAATATACTGGTCAAACTCTTCATAATCAGACATATTTTGATCACTTACAATAAAACTGTCCAAAAAGAAAACGCTAGGAAAAAACCTCCAAAATCCCATACAGAAAGGAGATGTGTAATCTTGCAGGAAATAATTCCTAAAATTATTTGTGTATTTTTAGCACGACTACTGAACACAATAACAAGGAGTTGGTAACCAGACAAGGAAATGTAGCTATGACTGTTTTTACCTGTACACTATCTGCTAACAGCATCTCGACCCTCTTACAGGCTATACTGTCACAGATTCGGGCGACGGCCAGGTGATGAGTGTTAAGGAACTTGTCTATGAGTAGTGTGAGGAGAGAGCCGGTCTGGGTGAGGTGGATAGCTTCTAGGCACTTCATGGTCTTCCTCACCAGTGATGGCTATCATAACACACAATATACTCTCTACTCCCTCATTTCAACAAGATTTGTCCAAAATTTCTTATATAATATATATGTATCGATATTCAGTACACTATTTTTGGCTTCAGAAAATTATTTGGATAATTGATCAATTAAACTAATTATATAAATATGGGTGAACATGGAATTTTTCTATCCTGTGTAAGTAAGATTATTTTTCTGATGGGGAAAGTCTTTGATTGAAAAATAATTTAGATTTAAAAGAATCCCTGTCATTGATGGAAGAAACAGAATAACTGGTCATTTTTTTGTGATAAATTAGTAATGGAGAACTCGAGATTGCTGGTTATAATTACTTACTTTTGAGACATTTTCACACCTAGCATGTATCGCCTGTATAAACAGACTACTGGCAGATGAATTCCTGTGTATGGCACTGAAATGACAAACAAACTGAATTAGAAAGAGACAGTGCTACAATGTTTCTGCAAGCCAAGCAACCTTACTAAGTCTTGGACAAGCCACTACTTGAGTAAGGATGTGAATTCACTGCCATCTACCCAGTATTGGACAGGTGACTCCTGAGACAGGGCTATGATGTCACTGGTACCTACCTGACAAAGTCCTGGACAGGTGACTCCTGAGACAGCGCTATGATGTCACATACACCTAATTGACAAAGTCCTGGACAGGTGACTCCTGAGACAGGGCTATGATATCACTGATACCTACCTGAGAAAGTCCTGGACAGGTGACTCCTGAGACAGGGCTATGATGTCAGTGGTACCTACCTGACAAAGTCCTGGACAGGTGACTCCTGAGACAGGGCTATGATGTCAGTGGTACCTACCTGACAAAGTCCTGGACAGTTGACTCCTGAGACAGGGCTATGATGTCAGTGGTACCTACCTGACAAAGTCCTGGACAGGTGACTCCTGAGACAGCGCTATGATGTCACCGACACCTACATGACAAAGTCCTGGACAGGCGATTCCTGAGACAGGGCTATGATGTCACATAAACCTACCTGACAAAGTTCTGGACAGGTGACTCCTGATACAGGGCTATGATGTCACATACACCTACCTGACAAAGTCCTGGACAGGTGACTCCTGAGACATGGCTATGATGTCACTGGTACCTACCTGACAAAGTCCTGGACAGGTGACTCTTGCGATAGCGCTATGATATCACCGACACCTACCCCAGAAAGTCCTGGACAGGTGACTCCTTAGACAGCACTTTGATGTCACTGGAATCTACCTGACAAAGTCCTGCACAGGTGACTCCTTAGACAGCGCTTTGATGTCACTGACACCTACCTGACAAAGTCCTGGACAGGTGACTCCTGAGACAGGGCTATGATGTCACTGACACCTACCTGACAAAGTCCTGGACAGGTGACACCTGAGACAGCGCTATGATGTCAGTGGTATCTACCTGACAAAGTCCTGGACAGGCGACTCCTGAGACAGGGCTATGATATCACTGACACCTACCTGACAAAGTCCTGGACAGGTGACTCCTGAGACAGCACTATGATGTCACTGTCACCTACCTGACAAAGTCCTGGACAGGTGCCTCCTGAGACAGCGCTCTGATGTCACTGACACCTACCTGACAAAGGCCTGGACAGGTGACTCCTGAGACAGCGCTACGATGTCACTTACACCTCCCTCACAAAGCCCTGGACAGGTGACTCCTGAGACAGAGCTATGATGTCACTGACACCTACCTCACAAAGTCCTGGACAGGTGACACCTGAGACAGCGCTATGATGTCACTGACACCTACTTGACAAAGTCCTGGACAGGTGACTCCTGAGACAGGGCTATGATGTCACGGACATCTACCTGACAAAGTCCTGGACAGGTGACTCCTGAGACAGGGCTATGATGTCACTGACATGGTTGATCACTAGCCATGTCATATGTTCTGCTTCAGTCAGATTTTCACACTGAAAATGTAACACAGACAATTGTTGTAAAATGTGGAAAAATGAAGTCACACAAATAAAGTTTAAAAAAAGGCATCCCCGTAACTCTCATTCCACCAACAGGTCCCTTAAGTTATATAATGTGGATTATATGCACAATCAGATTTATGCTAGCTTCTAGTACTGTTAGTAAGGGTTATTTTGTAGCAACAGTATTTTCAAATTTGTATGATTTTCTCAGTTAGGTAAATCCACAACCTGAACATGAATTAGCATCACCAATCATACACCATAGACTATTTATATCTAATTTGTAAGTTTAACATTGCACAAATTGGTAATTTCCTGCATAAATAAGGTTGTGCCAAATAAATATTTCAGATATAGGCTCACAAAGACCATGAAAAAATCATTTTGATAAAAAAACAACATCACCAAGTAGAAAGATAAATTTACCTATCATCTCATCCAGAATAGGGAAGTTTCAATTGGACATCTAGCTAAATTAACATCAATTGCCATAAAGGTAAGACGTTACATTGGATGACAAATGGTGATGGGGAATCCCCAGTATGATTAAGACACTCACCACGTAGTCACAGAAGAGTACCAGTCCGCCACGTCTCAGTATCTCCAGGTTACAGCAGTGTGTCAAGGGAGACACCAGTACCTCTAGGTCAGAAGATTGACTGTAACACAACACAGGGGTTATCAACTTCAATACATACTGTTAACTATAGGTAAAGCTGTTATTTCAAATCTGAAGTTTAATTTTCCTGTCAGTTATGAATGTGTAGTTCTTTATCACAAGTACAAGATTCAATTTTCAATCTTATCAATGATGATATTTTTTTCTTTATAGTTCAAACTTTTCGTTGTCCCAGACAATATAATGGTCATCAATGTTAGAACCCTGACTTCATTCTCTTACAAATATATATACAGATAAACCTCGATATAATGCCCCTCATTTCGTTTGCCACTTCGTTTACCGCTAGCATATTTCAATGTCCCTTTTTCAGGTCTTCTGATGAATTCCTTTATATATTTCCCTCAATTTAATGCCAATATTTCTCTGGACAAATGGTGGAGGTACAGGGAGGTTTTACTGTAGATGAGGATTTATACAGTTGTATCAGTATAACTAACCTCTTGCCAGGTTTGAGGAAGCGTTTAGGGGTCTGCATGACAGTGCTCCATAGCGGCTGGTCGTCAAAGTTAAGGAGGATAAGAATGTTGCACCATTGGAGTGTGAGGGTGGGTAGTGTCATGGAGACAGACAGGAACATGCCGTTTAGTTCCTGGATACAGTGGTAACAGTGGGGCGTGTCTAGGTGGGAGGCCTTCATTGCTGATGTAGCAACCTTCCTAAACAGACCTGAGAAAATAATAATTATCAATATAAGTATCTACTCAAAGACAGCAGATGTATGTCTAAGTTGTTAACTTCAACGTTGGAGAGTAAGGTACAAGCTGACTTTATTTAAAGCATAAAAATAAATAATACATGTAGCAGACAAAGAATTCAATACTTTAGGACCTTACTACATGTAACAGGCTTAGCATTAAATAACTACAAGACAAAAAATACTATGTTTATTAGACTACATTTTCAATTTCTGCATCAATTTTTAACACTGTTAAAACACTGTTGTAAAATGTATAGCTCTCTTCCTTATTTATTACCCTGTAATTTCAGACAACAGAAACTTTGGATTAATCAAGAACAACAAATTGTTCTAATCAAATCTGCAACAATTATCAATAAGAGAAGTAACTTTTCAGATATTGATGCCTAGAAACTCAGTTTGAGAGTGTCTTACTACACAAACATGGTTACCCTAGTTTATGGAGGAACTCACCAGACTGGAACATATGTGTGACATAGAGAAGGAGTTGAGACAGTTGCTGGGTTATAAACAGTGTAGACGAGGACAGCCCAGTCAGCTCACACTTCTGACTGATAAAGCTGGCACAGTTACCAATCACCTGTATCAGGAACCTGGGTAAACATAAAACATAATTGACTTTTAGTCAACATATACACATGTACCTGTTAGTTTAAAATGCAAGAGACACTCATCCTCTTTATGTTTATCTGTCCCTTACTTACTCACTTCTAACTAGTGTTACAGTGCTGATTCCTCTCATCTTTGTTCATATTTCTAACTGTGTCTCTCCTCTGTATAATATTAAAACCCTCTCCCCACTTACGAGCTTATCACAAGCTCTGATGACAAGACATGAGGCCAATCACTCTCCTCTGTCATCATATTTCTGTTCCACTTCTTAGCAGGTAATCACTTCCTCCCAGACAACCAGATCAAGATCATTTTTTCGTTTATTATTATATTTCTTTCCCTAACTTACCTATTATATCTCCTTCCCTTACTTACCAGGCTATCACCTCCTCTGGTGAAAGAGCCAGGCCTAGATCCCTCTCCTCTGTCGTCATCTCTCGACTGGGCACCTTGAACACATTCAGACCAAGTCCTAACTCCTGCATGCGGGACAGGATCACTTCCTCTTTGGATTGTGCCATCAGGACGTGGAGGAGGGACAGGACCAGGGATATCCAGCGTTGGAGGTTCTCCACACCAGCCTACAACATACAGACACATAAGATACATGTAACTATCAGAAATCTGTAACAAATCTGCAACAAAGACTTCTATAAACATATCTGTACCATAGGAAACCTGTAAAATATGATTTCTGTAACATAAGATAGCTATAACATAAGATTTCTGTATCCTGGTATCAATCTATATTAACTCAGTGACACATTAAAATTAACATTGAATCACTGATACTTCTGTTTTTATCAAAAGTCATCAGGCACTAAAGATTACACTGCATCAATTACAAATTCAAGAGTTGGAACAACATGAAAATAAGTGCACCTGTAATGTAGTCTTAACTACAAACAAAATACTTTTATCATTATCTGGATGCTCAATTTTCTAAGGGCAGTTACAGCATCTAACATAGCTTCTAATATATACTCTGGGGGAGGTTTACTAGTAGGTTGATACGAAGGTCAACAGTGTGCGATGTGATACCTAAAGGAATGACATTCTGACAAACAAGAATGTTTTGTTATAATGTGACAGAGTTAGAGATTAAACTTTAATCAGAATGGAATGAAATCACAGTGGAGTGTCACTGATCTTACCACATCAGTGGGTTCCTGAAGGAGAGTCTTCAGCAGGATATCTACTGGTCTGAACACAATGGGGGCCAGGGACTCGAAAAGACGGTGGAGAGTCTCCAGGGCGGCCATGCTGTCGATGCTCACCTGTAATATTTATAGTATTAAACAGATCACCAGAAGAGCTATTTCTAGCTTACTATCAAGTATAAAGAATGGCGTCGGCTGTATTTGCTCTGATGACATACAAGTGAATTCTTATGTTTCTGATACTCCACCGACCAGTAGTCTTAGTTTATTATTGTAAAACCTGATTATAATTCTGAGGATGTCTCTTAGAAATTCTCTTGAAGTTCATTTAAATGATTTTTTGCAATATTTGTGGCTTCGCATGCATCTGAGTTTGTCTATTATGAAATTTTTCTGTCGTATTCCCTTTGTTCAAGTATAAAGTCAGGTTTACATACTCTACGTCTGCTGATATACCTACCTGTTGTCTGGCTAGTGACGGTAAGATTGTATCAGTAACCTGCCGTGATAACTTCTTCCAGCGCTCCTCGCTCTCCTTATGACACTGTTGTAGGACTATCACCAACAGGTCCAGAGTCTGTAATAGGCAGTATTATACTTCATAGAAATACAGCCAGTAAAAATCACCAGGAAAGTTTCAAAACATTTACCTAGTCTTATTTCTTCCAAATTCAATGTTGATTCAAACTTTTTTTTACCCAGTCAACATATTACAGTTGTTCCACTATTCAGTCAGTGTTTTGGAGAAAGAAATTTTCTTTAACTGTTTAAAATGATCCCGGTAACCATTATTACTTTACAACACACAGATTTAACTCTAAGAGATATATTGTAAGCCCTGATAACATGGCCTGCTGTTCTCCAACAAAGCTGCAAGTACAGCGCCCATACCTGGTGATATTGTATGAGGCGAAGTAACATGGACACCACCACCTCCCTCTGTGTCTCCAGCTCACGGCTGATGTCAGATTTATTGGCAGCTCGCAGCAGGAACAAATCATACACGATAGGCTTCAGGGCAGGAATAGCTGCAAAAGAGGCAATAAGACCCTGGTAATTACACTGTGATATTTTTCACATTTGATTAGACAATTTCTCTGTTGTGTTCACTTCACCATATTATAAAAATAATACCAATTGCGAAGAGACCCAGAGTAAACAATAATCAAAAATGTTCATGAGTAAGATTTAGTGTAAAGCAACATGTCCACAGATTCTGTAATGGTTACTAAATTTACGATGACTATTGCTTTATATCACATCTTGTTTCAAACAGAAAAAAAGAGCACAGATAAATCTGTTTATTATATATCGTTTATCTGATGCAAAAAAAGTACAGTTTGATCCTATCTCTTCTGTTGTGATTGTTATTGCAGAGTACTTTAGGATAAACATGTTGTGTGGGGTGCTTACCCACCATTTGTACTGTCGTAGGTATCGTGTAATCTGTGTACTTTATGTGTACCTTTAGTAACTGCAACTTGTATTGTGTGTACTGTAAGATGTGTGTAGGATAAATTATTACCATATGTACTGTAAAACTTACGGTAAGTTGTGTGGGATATGTACCTACAACGTACACTGTAAGACATACCAGAATTGTTCAGGAAGGATACCTACCATGTGTTGTAGGATGAAGGCCACTCGCCATGATGCCATCACACAGCTGTATAATCTTCGGCATACCAATAATAGATTTACTGTGGTACTTCTCATAAGACAGCATCACCAGGAAGTTAAACAGGTTAGGTATAAGACTCTCGGAGTTTCTGAAACACAGTACCCAATAAAAAGGTCAGGTGACAGAATGTCAGAAATTCTGAGTTACTACATACTTCCCCAACACCTACTTATAATAAACATATCTAGACACATCAGACAGTACATAGCCACCACCTAACATATAGTCAACATAGACACCTCCACTTTAAATGTGGTCTTACCTGATCTGGCCCTCCTCAATGAACTCGATCTGCTTGATGATGAACCCGATGAAGACCTGATCGGAGTCAAGGAGGCAGTAGTTGACACGGAGCTGTATGAGTTGGGACAGGAGATCGAGGACCTGGCGCTGAAGCTCCAGACAGCTTGTCACTGTGTACTGCTTCAGGGCCTTGATCACCAGCGGCTCAAACAGACGGATGTATGCAGCTATGGCTGCCTGATAAAGAAACATGATACCAAATTACTAAACCATACTCAGTCTCTCTTAAGACACTAGATTACTAGACAATAATGAATGTGTGGCACTAACCATCACCGTATGTGTTAAGATAAAAGCCATAGAAGGTCACAACAGTCTTCTACACATAACAGTTGTCTATCGGAAGTATTTTTATCATGATAGTGAAAATAGTACAAAAAGTAGAAGTAAGATTGAACAATAAGGCACTAGTTTCCCATTTGAGCAACTTACTTTTACACATATGTCAGTATAGAACTCACCTTATCTGTTTTACTTCCAGGCTTCAGAATAGCTGGGAGCTTTCTTTCTACACATTTCTTTAACCAATTCAACATGCTGAAATAAACATTCAAAAGAATTTTCAATGCTCACATAAGAATTCCTGAATATAATAGAAATATCTTATAGATTCTAAAGATAGCCCCCAATATTTCCTCTTTTCTTGGTGATCTTTTCTCGGCTGTGGTGATGAAGACGACCCTTACCCTGTAACTTTTCTCAGCTGTGATGATAAAGAAGACCCTTACCCTGTGACTTTCTCAGCTGTGATGATAAAGACGACCCTTACCCTGTGACTTTTCTCGGCTGTGATGATAAAGATGACCCTTACCCTGTGACTTTTCTTGGCTGTGGTGATAAAGACGACCCTTACCCTGTGACTTTTAACCCCTTCCTGGTGATATCCTGCATTTCTAGTCTATAGGTAATTTGACTTTGACTCAACGACTGTTGACCCCTTCCTGATGGTCTACTTCTACTCATTTTGTATTGGGCAGTGGCCTTAAAGATGACCCTGATTCTCTGACTTTTGACCCCTATCTGAAGGTCTCCTTTTACTAAGTCTGAGTAATGGCTAAAATGACCATTACCCTCAGACATTTGACCTCTACCTGGCATTTATCTGCTTGGTGTGGGAGTGACCATAAAGATGACCCTGACCCTGTGAAATCTAACACCTACTTGCATTGGTGGTCACATCTCGCACAGTCTGGGCAGTAACTTTGAAGGTAACCCTATGACTACCTTGATGGTAACCCTATGTCTACCTTGATAGTAACCCTATGACTACCTTGATGGTAACCATATGACTACCTTGATGGTAATCCTATGTCTACCTTGATAATAACCATGTAACTACCTTGATGGTAACCCTATGACTACCTTGATAAAAACCCTATATCTACCTTCAAGGTAACCCTATGACTACCTTGATGGTAACCCTATGACTACCCTGATGGTAACCCTATGACTACCTTGATAAAAACCCTATATCTACCTTCAAGGTAACCCTATGACTACCTTGATGGTAACCCTATGACTACCCTGATGGTACCCCTATGACTACCTTGATAATAACTCCATGACTACCTTCATAGCAACCCTATGGCTACCTTGATAGTAACCCTACGACTACCTTGATAGTGACCCTATGACTACCTTGATGGTAACCCTATGACTACCTTGATGGTAACCCTATGTCTCCCTTGAAGGTAACCCCATGACTACCTTGAAGGTAACCCTATGACTATCTTGAAGGTAACCCTATGACTACCTTGATAATAACCCTATATCTACCTTGAAGGTAACCATATGACTACTTTGATGGTAACCCCATGACTACCTTGATGGTAACCATATGACTATTTTGATGGTTGTGTCTTTGGTGTGATTCTCACACTGCGACTTTACCTGGTGGTCTCCTCCTGCTCAGTCTGGGCGGTGGCCTTGAAGGTGGAAGCAGCGAGGGACTGAGTGAAGTGAGAGTAGGGCTGCGTAAAGCAGTGACTGTATAGTCCTGGTCTGGTGTTAGAGGTTAGTCGTGTGGCCTTGCCAGGTTTGTGTGACACATTGGTGGCCTGCTGTGGCTCCCACTGACTTACCAGGTTAGTACCAAACAGCGCCTTCAAAAGCTGAAAAATATTGCAATCAAGACTTATCAAAATGGTGCAGAATATTTCCCCGTAGTCAACATGAAGAATATGCCCAATAGAGCAGTACAATATAGTTACATCTCATTTTAACAACTCCATAAAAAGTATGATATGTTTTTACCAATATTTTAAATAAGTGAACAATGTTAAACAAAAAGATAAAATGTATAATAACAAACAATTTAATCATATATTCTATTATTCCAGTCATAATGTAACATTCCTGTTATTGTAAAAAGTCATGTGACAGAAGAAAATGTGATATAATATGAAATGTACCTGAATAACACAGGTAGATTCAGGACATACATGTTGTATAGGTAGGTTTAGGACATACATGTTGTATAGGTAGGTTTAGGACATGCATGTTGTATAGGTAGGTTTAGGACATACATGTTGTATAGGTAGGTTTAGGACATACCTGTTGTATAGGTAGGTTAAGGACATACATGTTGTATAGGTAGGTTTAGGACATGCATGTTGTATAGGTAGGTTTAGGACATACATGTTGTATAGGTAGGGTTAGGACATACCTGTTGTATAGGAAGGTTTAGGACATGCATGTTGTATAGGTAGGTTTTGGACATGCATGTTGTATAGGTAGGGTTAGGACATACCTGTTGTATAGGTAGGCTTAGGACATACATGTTGTATAGGTAGATTTAGGACATACCTGTTGTATAGGTAGGTTTAGGACATACATGTTTATCACAGGTAGGTTTAGGACATACATGTTGAACACAGGTAGGTTTAGGACATACATGTTGTATAGGTAGGTTTAGGACATACATGTTGTATAGGTAGGTTTAGGACATACATGTTGTATAGGTAGGTTTAGGACATACATGTTGTATAGGTAGGTTTAGGACATACATGTTGTATAGGTAGGTTTAGGACATACATGTTGTATAGGTAGGTTTAGGACATACATGTTGTATAGGTAGGTTTAGGACATACATGTTGTATAGGTAGGTTTAGGACATACATGTTGTATAGGTAGGTTTAGGACATACCTGTTGTATGGGTAGGTTTAGGACATACATGTTTATCACAGGTAGGTTAAGGACATAGATGTTTATCACAGGTAGGTTTAGGACATAGATGTTTATCACAGGTAGGTTAAGGACATAGATGTTTATCACAGGTAGGTTTAGGACATAGATGTTTATCACAGGTAGGTTTAGGACATACCTGCTGTACACAGAGTATAGTACAGGTAGGTTCCAGCGATACTGTTGTCCTCAGGTAACTAAGCAGCTCATCAGCATACTTCCCTATGTCTTGTAGACTGGCAATCTCCAGAACCTGGGCCAGACACTCCAGGGAGCACTTCAACAAGATACAAAACTTGTCGGATGTTCCAAGGTCTAGGGAAATCTGAAATATATAAATCAGTGTTTTACTTTACTAATTCATCTTTTGTTTAACAAGTGTGGATTGACAGCCCCCTAAAACAATCTTCTTATTAGAATCTACTTAAGAGACAGACAATGGTATGTTAGATATCTATCCTGTCACATCCCCCCTCAACCAGAATGTTTCAGGTGCCCAGAGCACTTAAACTGATGAAAAATATATCATACTTTTGAAATACATAATTAACATTTAATGGGAAATAATTAATGTTTTATTTGCTATTTTCCAAATAACAGCAGAAAGCAAGAGAACCTTCAAAAATAACAGTGAGTCTGGACATTCAATGGATGTCACGATTACATGTTATCTGCATCACAATCAACTTTATATCATAACTCATATAAATATCACAATTTTGTATATTTTTACTACAAGATGATGTTACTTTTACTATACACTTAATTTACCAAGTTGTCCTAGGAAATGTAAAGGTGTGTTTGTAGGTAAACCACAGTAACAACACAGACCTTGTAGGTAGAGTAAGCTCCCCTGAGGACTTCATACAGCTTCATGTACTGTGGCAGGCTGTAGAATGTCCCCAGTCCGTCCTTCTTGTTGCGCTCCCTTTCAGGTTCCTTGTCTTTATCTAAGGGCACATAACTCTCATTTTACAGAAATCCCACTCCATCAAAATAACCTTTGCACTCGATATATGGTAATGAGATGAATTCCACAACTTTCATACATCACATGAAGAATTAAGTACTTAGTATGCGAACGGTAGAAAAATATTTCTTGCTGTTTTTAATTGGTTTTGCAGATATTATTAGGGTACAGAGCAATTTTTGTAAGATATTCTTTTAATTGGTTTTGCAGATATTATTAGGGTACAGAGCATTTTTTGTAAGATATTCTTTTAATTGGTTTTGCAGATATAATTGGGTTTAAAGCATTTTTTGTAAGCTATTCTGAGGATGAGATATCTTCCTGTCTTAGGACAACATTTCAGTAACAGTGTTTTACTGTACATATACTTCCCATTATGGTAGGGAAACATTATTCCTTGTTTAATTGAAATTACTCATTTGCCCTCACACAACATAAAATATCATGGAGAAACAAAGATTTATGTTTCCCTACCACAAGGGCAATAAACATTTCAAGATGCCAAAATGGTTCTGTCACTTGGAACTCAGGTCTGATACCCGACTGATTTTTAGTATAATACCATGATGACAGGAATAACATACCTTTCTGCTGTTTGGGTGTGGACTTTTCTGCTGACCCTGGAGTACCAGTCGTACCGCTTCCATCCTTTTCTCCCTTGGCCTTGCGTTTGATAGGACTGAGGGAGGGGGCAGTGGGAAGTGAGGGTAGAGATGGTTTGATCTGAGGGGGGCCAGGCAGCTGTTCATCTATCACATGGCAGCACGCATTCAACAACCTGTATCAGTTAACATTAGCACCAATAAATAACTATCAACCACCATCAGGTCCCATAGCCATAAAACTATCTTAGACTCAAACTCAGATTCTGTGCTCAAGCTCAAACTCAGAATCACTGCTCAACCTCAAAGTGCCATATAGGTCAAAGATATTTTTATTTTATTTTTTCTTTGTAGGTACCTAATCTTGTAGTCAAGTACATATCATGTTAAGTGTTTACCTTTTGATACTATGCCTAGAAGTAACAAGAGAGAAACTTTGAGCACATAACTTGTGTTGGAGCATGATGAAATAGTATGCACAAGTCAAAGGTTTGATTTGTGTTCTGTATCGTTTTAAATACAGCTTTAATCCCAGATAACAGATTTTATTCCTATATGTTGTTTAAACTTCATGCATATATCACCACTTGTTAATTGACTGAAAATTGAATGAAAATCTTGGAAATAATCATCAGGCTCATACAAGAGTGTCTAAAATATAGATATATTGTTGTGGTTTAACTAGCTCATGTGGCTATGTGTATTATGTGTGATAAGAAATGTTCAATGTTTAATGTTGCTTTGGATAAACTTACCTAGCTATATGTGTTAGAAACTGCTCTATCAGAGGATACAGGACACGGTCAGATATGCCCTTCCACTTCGCATCCTCGGAGCTGTCAGGCGAGTTGTTGTAGTTGTCTATAGTTCGCAGACACTTGTAGGCAGCCCCTACAAACAACAAATACATAAATCAGATCAGTGTATATGATGCAAATTAACCAAAGGTCAGACATTATCAAAATTTGTTTGAACTATCTTGTTGTCCAGATAATTCTTTTTTGACTTACTGTTCAGCCAGAAATTTTCTTTGCAAAATTAAATTTGGCAATATTTGTTATTGATGATGAATGTTTTACCTGTAACCAAGAGCTCACTGTTTACACATGAAGTAACAGTTTTGTCAAGAAATGCCAAATCTGAGAGATGGTTTGCACCATGAAATATAAGGCTTTGTTCAGACATTGAATTCCTTTGCCATCAGTCAGTTGTCACTACAGTCAGTGAAATATCTCAACTGAAATGGGGTCATATATGCTTATCTTTTGAATGCTTTGAAATATGGAAATTGTCCCAAATTACAATATCATTTTTTGACAAATGTTACGTACTGCACATAACAGGATTTATTTAATAAAACAGGAGAACAACACAGTACACCATTACATTGTATAGATACGCATAGTAATGAACCAATGGTACTTTGACCAATGAGAAACGTATCCATCAATACAGTTTGATCTCATTTCTACATACCACAGACCAAATTGCCAGCCAGTTTAAGTGTATCATGGTGAGCAGATAGGTCCAGACTGACCACTGATGAGGTCAGTAGGGACAGCATCAGGGTCAACGGACCTCCACCAGATCCTCCAGACATCTCGTCCAAACTGAACGTACTGAATATATACAGGGAAACATGTTTAATTTCATTACAAAATCATTTGCAAAGGGCTATTTTATACATGCAAAATATTTCTATCATAAACCATAATTTTGTTATTATGCTGAAAAGAACCTGATTCCAAAATATATTGTATACTGTTTTAATTTTCATATTTTTTTTATTTCTTTTCATTTTGTTTTTATTTGCTGTTGATTCAACATGTCTCTATTGTTAGGTCTGACAATTATCTGAGTTATCTCTATACTGTACAAAGATGGCAGTAGATGTGTGTGTGGGACAAACTGACCTCGATCCACTGAGGGAACGACTAGGAGGCCGCCTTATCACTATTCTGTTGGAGCTTTCCCTTGGGAGGAGCAGTGTGGGAGGACCACAGCCCCAGGAATGAGCATATTGGGTAGCAGGAAAGAAATCGGACAACAGACGCAGAGCATGGCAACATCCATACTAGAAATAAATAGCACTTAATTAGCATACTACTACGAAAAACAAACATCAACCAATTAAGCTTTCTCAGGGTACTCCAGTTTTCTCTCACATTAAGACCCTTTACACATTGCCATCTGGGCTGACAAGAGTGATGAATATATGAAAATAAAAGTTGTTTCATAATTGTTTTATCAATTTATCAACCCGTATTCATGAAACCGTTCTCATGCTCAATCATGGATTTTGTGCTCAAGCCAAACTGCTTGTCCTGGTTATAAATTCATTAACAAATCTTACTTTGTCAATCATTTGGGAATATTTTGAAGAGACTTAAACTTGAATACTTTTTTCAATGTTTACATTTGACATTTTTATCCTCTAACATGATTTAAGTGAGTTACATGAAAGTTGGTTTGAGCACAGAGACTATGCTTGAGCATGAGAATGGCTTCATGAATACAAACCCTTTTCTCTAATATTTTCTACTGAGGATGAATAACAGTTCATTTTCTCTTTTTAAATTTGTCATTTAAACATTTGAACATTTGATAGGAGTTACATATGATATGAAATCTGCTGACCGTGTTGTGTTTAGCATTAGACAAATTGAGTTCATAGAGTAGAGCCATGACGACCCGTGACAGGTTACTCTCCACATGGACATGGGACACGTGCTCTGCCCCAAGATGGAAGGGTCTGACAAGGCCCTGGACCAGAGGTGGGGAGTCTGATGGAGTGTCGGGGTTCAGCAGGCTCCCAGTGTGGTCCTTGGCTACAGCAATCACAGGATCCTGCTGGCAGTGGTCGGACGCAAAGAACAACTGGGGAATCAGTCTGTAACAAATACAACATGTCAATCTTAACCTGATGCAGAAAATAAACAATAACATAAAACGAATCTTCTTCATCTGAATGCTTTAAAGTTAAAAGCAAATCCTGCAAGATTAAATATTTCTGTCTTTTCCACATGAAACTAAAGCAAGTGATGCTGTCTTTAAATTTATATATTAAATACATTGTGCATACTTTGGAGAGACAAACTGTGAATCCTAACATGCTGTCAGTGGAGGTGACAGAGCCGTGTAATGCTTACCTGACAAGAGTCTGTGCAGCACAATGACGCACCCTGTGATCCTCACTCCCCAGCAGTGGTATAATCACATCATGTATCACCCGGTGTTGGAGGTTCAGCTTCTGTAAAACCAAGAAACACTGTTACTGAAAACATTATATGGCATTATCACCTATCAAGTTTTGTCTTATACATTTCTGAATATAACTATATCTGTTATCAAGTAGCTACATATTACCCTGCATATGTCATTTGACATATGACAGACAGCATGTTTGCAATGGTTAATTGAAATCCATCTTATACTCTAGAAGTGGAAGTTTAGACAAGACTTTGAAAATAAAGGATCACAACTCTCTTAATGTCAATTGAAATAACAAACCATCATAGATGCTCACGTTTATGTGATTGGTAAGTTTACAACGTTACATTTAAGTCAGTTCTGTACTTAAGGAGAAGGGAGCAGAAAAACTGTGCCTAGAGATAGGCAGATTTCATTGTACAACATATAGTAACATTATTTTGAATCCTTCACCGTTAAGTATAAACTAACCCCTAGGTAGTGATGCTGTCCCCTCTGGGCAGGGGTACAACAGGACTCCAGGTGGACCAGGATTTTAAAGTTGATGCCACTCAGCAGATCCAGTATTTCCGTCTGTCAAGGAAAATATATTCATCATGAAGTCAAAAAATCAATTGACAACACATCTGAAACAATATTGATATTCTTTGTCTTTTTATTGATGTCAAATTAAGAAAGTTTCAATTATTCAAAATTCACCAACAAAAACTCTATGATATTAAAGATCAGTCATCACTTTACTCTGACCTCTTAAAAAGCTTATGAAGACATCATGTGGCAAGTTTGAGTTTGGTGCTGACCTTCAAGTAGGGGCTAACCCCTGTCCTTGACCTCCATCAGTTTTCCAATTAAGTGTTAATGCCCTGACCTTACACAAACCTTGACCAGCCAGTAGGGGTTGTCCTTGACCTCAATCAGATTGAGTAGGACTAGAAGGGCTAATTAAGTGTGAATGCCCGAACTTTACACTAACCTTGACCAGCCAGTAGGGGTTGTCCTTGACCTCCATCAGCTTGAGTAGGACTAGAAGGGCTAATTCACTATGAATGCTCTGTAACAGCGGACTTATACAGCTTTGTAAAGAGACGATGGCCAGTCTAATAGCCATTGACGAGCTCTCCTCTATAATGTCCAGTATAATGTCCACTAGAGACTGGATACTAAGATCAGCCACTGTAGCAACAGACAAGTTACTCATTAACATCACACGCATCAGTTATAAAACAATAAACAACAGACAAATTACTTACAAATATTACACAGTTATAACAAGATAAATGCTAGAATGTGACATGTCATGATAAAATTTGAAGTTCAAAAAAAAAGAAACAAAACTGCAAATTAACAGCAAGATAATATTAGGAACTTTAAATCACAAATCTTAATTTATTGATTATGGATATATTAATTTTGACCCCCGCAAATGTGGCCTTGATTATTTAAATGTAAAAGTCAATTTTGATATCTTAGAACAATCAAATATGACCTATTTTCACAAAGTCCATGAAACTATCTTTAGAAATTCAGAAGATATGTAAGTTTACCCAAACTAGTGAGATGCATTGTGAACCATTCTCCTTGCATTGTCATATAGCATCTTATACAAGTTTCAATGTCATTTGAGACCTTTTAAACAAGTCAGGTGGATTTGTTTTGAATTTTTAGCAAGCCCTGGTGAAAAATTTGTGGCAATTTCATAAATCACATAATGGAAACAAGCTTATGATCCTTTAATCACATTTCAAATTCTGTTATCTTGGCTTTATATCTATTGTATACATCATGATGTCATAGTACAAGAGGCCCAATGGGCCTGCATCACTCACCTGGTGTTACTCTCACACTTGTAACCTTACAAAGGGATCTAAAGTAAAGCTATAGGCAAAATATCAGTGCTTATGACTATCATTCAAAAGAACCTATAAAAGGATGTTAAAACATGTCCCCTGTGACCTTGAAAGTCGAACAAGGTCGTTACAATGAACAAACTTTAGAGCTCTTCATCTCAGGATGCAACTCGCCAAATATCACTACCCTTGACCTTTTCTTTATTTCATTTAAAGGTTTATACATATTTGACCAAGTGTGACCTTGAAAGTGGGTCAAGGTCATTCAAATGAGAACCTTAATAGCCCTTCATCAAAGCATGCTACTGGCCAAGTAACATCCTGGGCCTCATAGTTATTCAGAAGAAGTCACCTGAAGATTTAAAACAAATTTGACCCCTGTGACATTGAATATAAGTCAAGGTTATTCATTTTAACAAAGTTGGTAGCCCTTTTTCCAATCATTATATCATCCTCCTGTGCCTTTTGATTATTCAGAAGAGGTCGTTTCAAGGTTTCACATATTTGACCCCTGTGACCTTGAAAAAAATCAAGGTCATTCATTTGAACAAACATAGTAGCCCTTCACCCAAGCATGTTACTGGCCAAAGATCATTATCCTGTGCCTTATGGTTATTCAGAAGCGGTTTATAGATTTTGAACATATTTGATCCCTGTGACCTTGAATAAAGGTCAAGGCCATGAATGTTTACAAACTTGGTAGCCCTTTACATCTCCTAGCATACCACTTGCCAAATATCAACATCATTGGCCTTCTGGTTATTCAGAAGATGTTGTTTTAAAGTTTTAAACATATTTGACCTCTGTGACATTGAATATAGGTCAAGGTCATTCAATTGAACAAACTTGGTAGCCCTTCATCCCAGCATGTCCCTGGCCAAATATCATCACCCGGGCTTTCTGGTTATCCAGAAGAAGTTGTTGAAAGATTTTAACATATTTGACCCCTGTGACCTTAAAAATGGGCAAACGCACACTGGACGGACGATGGACACCGCACCATGGCATAAGCTCACTTGGCCCTTCGAGCTAGGTGAGCTAATTATCTATAAGTCTGTGTTGTCATTTAATAACATAGTAATCACATCATAAAATAAACAACATGGAAGCCTTACACTACCTTTGCTGCCCGAGTCGGAGAGCCACTTGGTGAAGTTACCCCTGCTCTCCTTGAGTGCAGAGGTGATGAGATTGGCAGCTATCTGTGTGGTATTACCCTTGAGCTGTGGATCTGGGTGATGAGCATACAGCAACACATCCTGAATCTCCTGGTCCAGATCTGCATTCAAACAGGTCTTATAACAATTTGAATACACTGATAGCTATATATTTTACAAAATTAAAGAGCCCATTTAAGATAAATTTCCCAAAATATGGGTGTATCACAATGACACCAAAGGGAGATACATTATACATATGTATGTTTCCTTCTATGTCGCATAAGGTTGGTCAATGTGCACTTACAATGACTCAGTTTAGTAAAAATTCGGAATAGAGCTGGAGTGAATCATTTACACATATCAACCTACTTCAATGATGTATTGATAATCATTGCAATTTTTTACTTGCCCACTTTAAAGGACATAGAAATAATCTTTTACTATTGGTGATGAAAAAATGGAATAATGTCTTCATTTTGAAACCATTGAAGTCATTGAGAAAAAAAATTATGGTGATATGGCACATACCCAAGTGACCTGAGTGAGTTACCTACCTTGTGAGACCTCTGTGAACAGGTTTAGCAGGAACACCTGAGGGTATATGGCCATGGCGGAGCTGACACAGGTGAGGGCCAGGGACTTCACACTTACTCGTACAGTCTTATCAGGCTTCAAGACTCGCCTACAGCCAGACAAAAGGAAGCGGGAAGCTATAAAACGTATACAGTAGATGATGGCAGGCTGTTTGTCTATGATGGAGCCAATCCTGGCAGCTATGTCCTCACCTGGGGAAGGCAGCAGACCGCGATCACCCTCAGATACATCTTCTATCTCAGGGTTGCCATTGAGGTCCTGGCTGACACCCTTCTGCAGTGAAGGTTTGCGGGTTGGACTGATGCTTTGTATACTGAGCAGGGTCTCTTGACTACTACTGCAAACCTGTGTCATGTTGGACTTTTCGGACTTATCCTCATTGAGGTCACCAATTTCAATTCCTGAGTATTCAGAATCTGTTGTCGTGACGATGACCTGTGTGTCCACCGGACTTAATTCCTCTGACCCTCCCCCAGCTCCTGACTCTTCACGTGCCACAAACGAGTTGTATTCAAACGCAGACCCATCAGATGAAGCTTCACCTACATGGTCTGTTATAGCATCAGGGATGTCAGTGTCGTCCTCAAGGCCTGGGGACTCCTCTGCTAGTTTGCTGAAGGATGGAACTTCCTGTAGAGCTGAAGGACAAACGAAATTCAGAAGATTGAACCAAGTCTAAAGACTGACCTTCAGAAAACCAGAGGAAGGCCAAACGTACACAAACATTCAAAAGTTAAAGTTTGTTTAAAATATACAGTAATAACTGCTCATGCGACCACCTGCATTAAAAGACCATCTGTGTTAACAGACCACAAGAGTGTTGACTGTAATGTGAGGACTGAGCAATCAGTATATGTTACTGAGATATTACAGTCATTGTAAGGGGGATCCGGAGGAGGCTTTGTCATCAAAGTCAACAGGGACCATACATAAAGTAGGCAAGTCTTTCACTTAGATATTTAGAATCATTGGAAAGGGAGGAGGCTTTGTCAGTCCAATAAACAGGGACTATATGTGAGGAAGGTTGGTTACTGGGATACTTACGGTCATAGGAGAGAAGGCCTGGTCGATATATGTAAGGTCGATAGATATGATACTAGAATACTTGAAGTCATTGAAGGAAGAGGAGGCGTGGTCAGCCAAGTAGGCATCGGCTGTATGTAAGGTAGCCAGATATGTTACAGAGGCATGTACAGTCACTGGAAGGAAAAGAGATTTGGTCGACCCAGCGACAGGGAGTGTATAAAATGCAGGCAGATATGTTAATGGATTACTTTCAGTTGTATGGGGGGAGGCAGACAGGAATTACCATAGCATATAAGGAAGGTTAATATATTAATGGGATACTTACAGTCATTGGAGGGGGAGGAGGCTTGGTCAGCGAGGTACACAAGGGTCCGGGTGATGGTACCTGGCACGGTCAGGATAGACACCAATAAGGGGGTGGGGTTACGCAACAGCTGTTGGAAGGCCTCCAGGGCAGCAGTCACCACATTGTGGTCTCTGTGGGTCATCAGGTGCAACAGCGTCTGGATCACCTGTCGTAACAAGGCATACACATGTATAAGTATTCACACATAATATACCAGGTACTTAACTTTACTTAGTAAAATCTTTACGAAAGAATCCCATCCAAATATTTTGGCCGTAAGAGATATGCTCTACAGTTGCTTGTAATACATATCAATCTTATTCATAAAATATCTATTTTTGAAGTCAGAAATATATCCTGAATAACAACCAGTATTTCTTTACATGAGAAAAATTATTAATAAACAACCAGTATTTCTTTACAGGAATAAAATTATTAATAAACAACCAGTATTTTTTTACATGAGTAAAATTATTAATAATCAACCAGTAATTCTTTGCATGAGTAAAATAATTAATAAACAACCAGTAATTCTTTGCATGAGTAAAATTATTTATAAACAACCAGTAATTCTTTGCATGATCACAATTATTAATAAACAACCAGTAATTCTTTGCATGCGAGTAAAAAAATTACTAAAATATGACCTACATTTGGTAGAATATTACCTTTATGAGCTGTTCTTTGCTGACAGATTCGGCCTTTTCCTTGGTCATCACACCAAAACTGCCCTTTAGTCCCTGCTCTATGAGACTAGACTCCCCAAGGTGGGGGACAAGGGACCGCATACACAGAACCACGCCCATTAGGGTGTGTAGGTCTTGATCCCCATCTACTGGTAGGACCATGTCTGGAAATAAGGGTGTTAACACAGTCTATGTATCTGGGCTGATAATCAAAAATAATATTATAATAAATGGGATAGATTATATGATTATATAGAACCATAGCTACATTTGATGGTTGGATTGCTACAAAATAAATTATCATCACCTGAAACATTGATTTATTTTCAAGAATGTTCATAGCTTTAAGCTACGTGCGAAAGAAGAAACTGACAAATTAACACTTTGCAGGATCCTGGAATGGATATTTCAAAGGTTAATTAAAATCATTCAATAACAGATGGTCAAGAAGTTCACATGGACAATAATAGATTTATGTATATCACATGAGTGTGGTGCTATACACCCATCTCTATGACTTAATTTACATTAAGCAATAATTTAAGTCCATCTCCCATTACTACTAAACTTTCTTAAGACAACATAACCCTAGTGTGTTTCTATCAACTCTCACAATCTCTTACAGTCTATTGAGTTATTTAATATCAACTGTTTAATTCTAGAGTTTTCTATTTCCATTATAATTTATGTTTCTAGAGAGAGTTGTATGACTTGTGAAGGGCTAACCCCTGAAACACTGTCTCAGTATAACAAGGAGTAGGTAGTTGTAAACACTAACCCAGTAAGATGTTGAGTAAATAGTTGTAAAAGGACATGGGACTCCTGGAGTACTGACAAGTCAACACCAGGCTGGTGGCAGCTGTCCGACGACAGGAAGCTGAAGGAGACTTCAAGTTAGGTAGAAAAGACTTCAGTAATGCCTGCAAAAATTAAAAACACATACAATATATTTGGTTTTGAAAATATCACTATTCAACCATCTGAGGTAGCTCCATTTCTGTTTCAACAACAAGAACAATAACAGTTGTTACAAATGATGCAACAACTTACACATATTTTGCGCTCACATAAAAACTATTGATGCAATAAATTAAACAATTAATTCAGCTCTTTACCACTAGCAAAACAGTAATCTCATTCCACTTAAATCAATTGAATGTAAAGATAAAGACACCATTCAAACTAATTAAGTAATTTTTTTTTTATTTCTAATTTTTCAAAGTTTTTACTGTAATTAAGTTACCAACCTTGATCTCTGATTCATTAGCAAAAACCATGAGAGCAGGACTAATTTTGACCATGGAGGTTAGGAGGGTTTCCTGTACAGCCTCTTCCTCCCTCTTACATATCCTCGCCAGACAGGGAAGCATGTTCACCATATATGGTCTGTAAATCAACATTAATATTTTTTTAAACAACCATGTTACCTCGAAATTTTCACAGGAGAGCATCGAAATGTAGCATTGAAGCTTTAACTACTCTATTGTTCAATGATTACTTTTTCCTCCAAACTTAGATTTTTAATACATAGCCACTTTTGTACTGGTTCAGTATTGGACAAATGTCAGTAGGAACTACCTGCACTTCTGTGGTCTAATCAGGGGAGCCATCTCGGCAAACCTCCAGAGAGCAGCACGGATTGTCCGAGATGTACCGTTCTTCTTTATCTCCTTATACAGCTCAACCTGAAGTCGACCCAAGTTGGTCTCCAGAAGTACCTTCAATACAGAACAATATTACAGCAAAATCTGTGTAGTGTCAATCTTTGACACAGAAATATAATGAAAGCATAGTGTCAAACTTTTAACACAGAGTAGGATTACAGCAATATAAGTGTAGTGCTAATCTTTTAAACAGAACAACATTATAAATGTCCTGTATTGTTAATCTTTTTTTAAATAGAACAGCATTAGAGCAATACATGTAAGTTTAACTCAGAACAGCATTACAATTATAAAGTGAAAGGTAATTAAAGTTTTATATTCGGATTTAACTTTGTACTTCCTCAAATCGTGGATGATATCTCAACTCTTATCAAATAATTTGCGTTTTCAATAGCTGAAACATACTTTGGATTACCCCAGACTATCAATTATTACTTGTAATCTGTAGGCCTATTCAATTGATTTTTTATTTTAATCGATCATTACAGCATCACTACTAAACAACTGGTTGTAAATACCTTAATGGATCTGTTTATACATTCATCAGCAACCATTCTCACGTCAGACTCAGTATCATCACACAGATTTAGGAATGTTTCCATGGCGATCCCAAGGAACTTGGGGAAATCAATAATGGCTCTGAAAAGTATGGCAAAGGGCATTTTTATTCTTACCCTTGGTAACACATTTTTTCTAGTCATATTTTCGTGTCATCATTTCTGTATTGTTTACCAGGCATTTCAATTCTGTAGTGTAAATTATAGCTAACATATGATAAACACTAGTACATAAGCATGGCAATATTCATGCAATGATCATATGTAATGCAGATATAAATTAAAGCTTCCATTAACAATACAACACTGAAATGAGACCAAATGACTTTATTTGAATGCTTAGTTTTTGGCCTGCACATTATTGCATAAGTGTTATCAACCTTTATGCAAAGTTTCAACAGATTCTGCAGAATAATTGTGAAAGAATGGAGCCTCCTTAACCATTAATTATCAATACAACCATTTATAAAAAAAAAAAAAAATATTTAAATGAAATGGTACAGAAGCACTTTGATGATAAACCACGGACTTACCTCATGTTAGGTGCACAAATACAATCAGCCACTACGTTACAGTTTACCATCTTATCCTTCTTGCTGACAGATTGCTCTTTTTTTCTACAAAACATTTGAAGTAACATAATCTGTCAGATTAGATAACGTAAAAGGTGAGACAGATCATTTATATGACAAACGAAACAGTTTCAGAATTTGGGAATGTCTGGAAAACTATCCACATGTTTATTTAATCTTGGCAGTTAATATTCCTTCTGGGTTTTTTTATTATTAATTTCAAACAAAAGAATGGAAAACACATTCATACTGTTAGTGCACTGTCCAAATCAAACAATGTATACCTTAGTAATTATAAGTACATATGTAATAGACTTTTCTGTATCTCTGACAAAAATGACACCATCAGAAATAAAGTTACTTACTTAGAATCATCTGAAGTAACACCGCCAGGCTGGAACACTTTCAAGGCCTCAAAGGCCTTGATTAGTTTCTCTATTGTTGCCATGATTGTATTAATGAAAACTGGTACACCTAGAGGTCAAACAAAACAACTGTTAATCAGTATCAAAAGACAATACAAATTCACTAAAACCAGAGGTCCCCATCTACTACCCTCCAATCCTATTGAACACATATATACAAAGTTTAACTTGTTAAATTGGGAACTCAAAGGGCATGTTACCTGTGATTATAGAACATTTTTTACATCAATTTGGAAAATATTTTACAAGTAGTGGCAGAAGCCTAGTGCTTGGTAAAACTCTTTCACCAGCTAATCGTGCAGGATGTTTATGCAACTAATTGAGCAGATCATATTTTACAAAAGCTGTCAAAAGGACATAAAATAAATACATGCATGAAGTTCAGTGATTCTTAGCTTTATGGTTCTGACATTGAAAAAATGAATTTTGCTTTTAGTTTTTTTTGTTACTATAAATTACCAAGGTATGTATGATTAAATATTAAAACCTAAGTTCCTTATATGTTTAAGATAATTAACTGTAAACATTTTTACTTACAAACAATAAATCTTTGTTTATGTCTCAGACATATGATCATCTTCCAACATGGTAGTCATTACCAGTCACTTAAAATTTTGTTTCCAGATAAGTTTCCAAACTATGATCATGATCAGATTTCAATGAAATAGGTGAGCAATTTTATATCAGGAAGACAAAGACTAAGGTCAGTGATGAACAGAACATACAAACCGTTAAATGATGAATAAGTTTATGAAGTCACTGTTACACAATCAGTGATTGTTTTTAAATTCTTTACAGGAATAAACTGTACTTTCATGGTCATCTCACTTTTGAAGTAAGGTGTTGAAATCATCCAAGCATATCTGATCCTTAGTGACTTCTCTCTGGTTCAATAGACTAGAAAATTGACCTGTACGTACTGACCAATGAGTGTCATATTGTCAATACAGAACTGTGTGCCAACAACTGCTGGCATAGGACAAATTTCACTGGGTTTTGTCTACCTTATGGCTTAAGGTAGTCTACAAAACATGTTATCAACGTTTGCCAAATTTAATTTAAATGAAAGGATAACATGTTTTAGGTTTATTTGGCATCAGTAGTTCATGCAGCAAACCAACTGTCAGTTGTTTTTAGTAGCTATTAATTTAAATTATTTCAATTATCAAATATAAAAAAAAAAACATCCCAGTAAAAAAAGGTTTGTATCTGTTTTGAACTGACCAGATAGGAAAAACACTACAGGGGTACATTCGCGTATCCGGTTGAAACGGTTGAACTTGTAAAGAAAACGACAGGCACAGATCTGGACCGAGGCTGACCTCAGGAAAATTTGGCACAACATAGACGTACCTGGTCGAAATTAAAATGCTGACTGTTGCCAGTTTGCATTATTTCTTTCTAAAACAATGTCAAGTCACATGTAGTTTTTAAGGTACGGTATGTAATTATTCAGTGGACGGATGAAAGAAGGTCATAATATTCTTGAAACACTGTTTTTTATTCTCCGAAACTGTGCATTTTTAACTCTGCTTATAGAACGGTCCAGGTGCGTTCGTTTAGCGTCGAAAACTTCTGCGCCACACGTACCGTTTCAACCGGGATACGCTAATGTAGCCCGAGATACGGACATTACATTGAACCCGTTATTTGTAATGTCAGTTTCGGTTATAAGTAACCTTGTAAACCATGAACATCTCTTTTCACACCTCTAGCTACCTTTAATTCATATTTAAGTGTAACCAGGGATGCATACAGAAAGCAAACTGTTAAAACTGTAAAGCATACCGGTCAGCACAGATTGTGTATTGTGATCACCGAAAGTATAAAGACCCGGTGCTGAAACTGGACTCCATCAGCATCATCCCTCTTGTCAGGCTCTGCCAAGATCAATATAAGACAGTAACGGAACTTCCCAGATAGACCATGAAACAATTATCCACTAGAGTTTGAATTGCGAATATGCATTACCTTGGTACCAAGATGAATGGGCTCTCTTTTGTTATGACATCTCGTTTTATTAGTTGACACCTTCTGTATCTCACATTGGCGGAAGTCACGTGAACAAACATATTAAAATCTTTACCTCAGTTTCGAACTATAAACTCCCATTAACATACTTGGATTTTATTCATTATTTTTGTATTTTTCAAAATGAAACAAATTTTTACTTTAAAACTAAATGTAAAATACTAAGAATCGTAGCATAGTTTTCTCTAATATCAACTTCAAATATGATGCTAGCTTTGCATCATCCACTTTTTGTTTAAAGATGGCGGGAGAAGGGCAGAAGGACCAAACTGTGATTATAAAATGGAGCGGAAACGTCTACAACATTGCACTAACAGACTCATCAACGGTGGCAAATATGAAAGATACTATATACAAAGAAACAGGAGTACGGCCTGAACGACAGAAACTGTTGGGTCTCAAATATAAAGGTGAACAGTCGAAAATTATTTCCAGACGTTTTTCTCTTGTGTTGCTAACCGGGCCCTAATATTGCAATTACAATGATTTCATTTAGCGACAGTACAGCCTTATTAATGAATTTGAATTGTTCTGTCGCTACAGAATCAAATGTGAAGCTCTTAACTTGTAAATTGACGATATCTTAAAAATCAGAAAACTGACCAAAAACTAGCAATTTGCTAATTATACCCAACTCCACTGGGTCGATCCACAGGGGTTAGTTACAAATGTCTGAAATAGGCCTACTACATGTAACGTCACGCTTCCACAATTGGTACACTACCCAAATCGGTACACCGTCAGAAAATGCTTCAAATAGTACTTTAAAATTAGATTTGAGCATTTTCCTTTTACAGTATAACAAAAGAGATATTTATCAGCATTTCTACCAAATAGTTTCGTTTTCATGAACATTTTAAAAGTACACAGTGACTTCAAAGTAAGCATATCAGTAAAAACAACATATGTTGACGAAATTTTGGAGGATTTTGAAGGGGTTAAATATAAGCATGTTTAAATGTTGATTTCTGGTCCTTATAACCCGGAAAATATAAAAGTGTATACAATTGTAGTTCAGTATGGTATTTATAAAAGAAATATATTTTGTTGCAATCGGCACATCAACTAGTAGAAATAAAGACCACTTTCATATCCTGTGATATGGTGTACCAATTTGGGTACTAATCACGGACGAAATCTCACTGTCATCTGGAGTAACCACAGTTCAAAGGGTTCCAGGTTCGAATTCCCATCTGGCTGTGCATTTGTCTTTCTACTGTTACAAATAAATACAATACAAACATGTACACCACTTTCAGAGCATTATTTTATGTGTAGCGGAACTGGACTGGGTCAATTGGCGGCAACCAGGCAGCTCAATTGCTTAGAGCATCCGTCTAGAGTTTGGAGGGTCCAAGGTTCGAACCTTAGTCTGGCCTAGCATTTTTCCACTCTTGTTACATTTGAGCCCCTGGAAAAACACCCACGGAATGTCATATAGCCTATAGGGTCTCCTGTGTCTGCCAGGTCAAAGACTTTGTTAAAGGAATGTAGTGAAACTGGACAAAGTCAATTGCTGGCAACCAGGTAGCGCAGTTGGTTAGATCGTCCGTCTGAGTTCTGAGTGTCCCGGGTTTGAACCCCAGTCTGGCTGTGAATTTTTCTACTCCTGTTATACATGACATGACGGTAAACATCATGTCATGCTGATGTCTTTTATTTTCGTACCTGTAAAAATACTAACCTATATAGATTCTTGATTAGATAGCCAACAAAATTGGTGAAAAAACACAGGGGGAAAGGTAAGCATTTGATTTAATTCTTATATATCTCAACTTCTCATCAGTCTACCAAAATGCCTAAAACTAGGGTAAAAAGCTCAAGATGTCGAAAAATATTACTTGATCCAACTTTCTCATAGCAAAGTTTGTATTTCTTAGTGGGTGTACATAACATGTTTAGTACTATATATGACCCTGAAGCTTTGTTTTACGATGTGAATGAGTCTATATTGATGCTACACACATGGCATGTGACAAGCATATATTATTTTTACTCATGTAATTTTTTTTAATAAACTGTTATTGATTTAATATCTCGTACAGGAGGGGTTCCTGCAGACGATGTAGTTATATCTGAGTTGAAACTGAAACCTAATACAAAAATTATGATGATGGGATCAAGAGAAGAGGAACTGGTAAGTCAGATGGGTCTAAGTGTTCAGTGGTAAAACACTTCCTTTGTGCCTGTCTTGGTGGAGAGGTTTATAAGACTCTTTCATGCCCAGGAGTGTAGGATAGGGAAATTCCACCCGAGGGGTTTTCAAATTTGGTAAAACCGGAGGCTTTGTCGAGGGTTTTGCAAAATTTGAAAATCCTGAGAATGGATTTTTTTTTTCTCTCATTCCAAATACTAGAATAAGCTCAGAAACCATGAAAATGCGCTTGGAATAGCTACCATTTCGAGAATATCAATTTTTCTTGTGAGCTTTATAGACGAAAACGATTCTTATCAGCCAGATTAAGCATACACCATATTTTCAAACAGGGTTTGCACAGAAAAATTAATAACATCTTTCTAACAGATAAGGAAAATATATCGTTAAAGGTTCCAAATTCATGACATCACATCATTGTTGAGCCATTGTGACGTCATGTCCATGAAATGGGGTGTAAGATAGAAATTTCCTACACCCCTTTCTAACTGTGGACAGCTCTATCTTACACACAGGGAAATGAGAGAAATAAGACCCTTTCATGACCAGGGATGTAGATAGGGAAATTCCACCCTCAGGATTTTCAAAGGCAAAGCCTGGGGTTTTACCAATCTGGGCATGAAAGAGTACTTTTCTCTCATTCCAACTACTTGTACCAGAATAAGCTCAGAAACCATATAAATGCGTTTGGACAGAAAGGAGAGAAATTAGACCCTTTCATTTCCCGGGGTGAAGGATAGGGAAATTCCACCCAAGAGGTTTTAAAATTTGAAATTTGAAAATCCCAAGGGGCCCAAGGATGTAGGATAGGGAAATTCCAACCGTGGGGTTTTCAAATCTGGTAAAACCCAATGCTTTGAAAGAGTATTTTTCTCTCATTCCTACTACCAGAATAAGCTCAGAAATCATAAAAATTTCATCACGTCGCCTTTTCCACATTGTGACATCAGAGTTTTTCCAAACATGTGACGTCGCATCATTGTTGAGCCATTGTGAGACGTCACACATGTAATGGGGTGTAAGGAAATAATTTCCTACACCCTTTTCTTACCCTGGACAGCTCTATCTTACACATACGGAAAGGAGAGAAACATTTATCAAATGACATTGCATTGTTATTTGTCCGTTTTTCATCTGTCTCATTGTTGATGGGATATATTTATATTATTCTCCTTTTCCATCTGTTTATCTGTACAACAAAAAATAAGCTACATCTTGTCAATCTTAGAATTTAGAATTTACCTAACTGGTCCTTTGAAGGACTTGTGAAAATATGATTATAAACTAGGAATATTCCTTTTTAAAATTTAGTTAACTGCTTCAAATACGATATGTTGCATGATAATTGTCAAAATTTTCCTAAACTGCACCATATTTTCATGGCAGTAGTTATTTTAAGTCCCCTGCAGTCGATTACTTTTAATGTTTCATGCTTAAGTTATGATCGCAATGTTTCATTATCAAAAAATCTTGGCCTAGTTAGTTTGACAAAGGACTAGTAAATAATCTATTCAACTAGTCCTGTTGACTACCAAGCAAAAAGAATTTGCGTCTAACCCTGTAGACCTACTGAATTTTTTATAGACCAGATCTTGTCCAAGAAAATTTTACTTGCATATTTAGTGCTTGATAATATGTGATTAAGAAAATATCTATAATAATGAAGAAAACTTAATAAAAGAGCTTTCCTCTTCACTGCTAGACTTATCATTGAATCATACACACCATATATAGGAAACAAATTCATAGACATCTTGGTCTATGAAGTAAATGATTCCGGTAGACCTACAGTGTTTTTCATAGTGATTGTCTATGGGTCTACTGTCAAGTTTGAACACCGCAAGACTTGGTTAGACTTTCTCTTCAGCTCCGTATTACTAGAATTTATCAAACATGTACTAGAAATCCCAACAGTCATCAGAATTCATGTGGATATATCTGAAGGAGCACTGCACCAATCTACTTTTAATCAAAGTGGGAACAGGTGCATCTATATGTTTTACAAACGATTTCTAGTCTTTTTTTTAGAACATCACACTAATGTCAAGGACAGTTACAGGTAATTTATTGACATCAATGTAAAAAAATTGAGATTTGTGTATTAAAGGAGATATTTTAATGAAACTTCAAAGACATATCAACCACTACAACCAGGAACAAGGCCATTTTCAATACCTTTATTAAGACATTCCATGGCCAACATCACAAATTTAGGTCTTAAGATAAATTTAGAAGATTTTATACAACAGTTATAATTTTTGGTAGGACGTATTATGGTATGGGGAGTATTTGTAAGAGCTAGAAGGACTTGAAAGTTAAGGAGATCCAGGTTGGAGAAGTTCATATACGTATATACAAGTAGTTGCATCCTTCTACTTTACTTCAGTGATTATGACAAATCTCAACAGTGATTAAAGATAAAAAATGTTGTACTTTTGATGTTTCCATTGGTTCCAGGATAAAGTCAAAGAGCCACCCACAGATTTACCTGAAGTCATCAATGACTTTGACATAGAAGAGGATGAAATTGCTATAGAAAATAGGTACTGTGCCAGAATACTAGTTTTGTGTATACATACGTTTATATAATCATGATGAACATCATTTTTAATCGCTGCTGTTGATTTTGATTTTAAAATACTGAATTAAATAATTCAATTTGTTTTCAAAGGAGATGTCATGTTTGTCTTTCAGAAAAGTAAGATTTTGAACAGAGTGTAATCAGCAGTTGATTCATACAGTACATGCCCAGTCTATCACTTGTTGAAGTTTTCATTATAGGCAATACACACTGTATTGGCAAGCCATACAGGTCCCAGGTGCCTCTTGTTTCAGTTGTTACTGATGACATGTGCCTTAAGTTTCTGTAATTTCTATGCTGTGATGCACAGTGCCGCATTAAATATCAGGGTTTTATCTGAATATAATTGATTTTATTTACAGAGAAGAATATTTGTCGAAAATTGAGAAAAGGGTTCGAGATTACAAGATAGAAGTGTTTAATCCTCCCCGAGAAGGCAAGAAGCTGTTGGTACTAGACATTGACTACACACTGTTTGGTAAGTATTGATCGGTCAAGGTGCAGTTATCATTATCTATTTTCAAATAATGTGCATCATTTTTGTATTGAATTAATTTTGGGAATTAACTTTTCCCATGAAAAGTGCATATAACATTTGATCTGGCCTGACCCGGTATTTCCACCTCAAACCTGATGAGGCATGTCACCTGTTCTGATCAATCGTCTTCTCTTGAAAAGTTACATTGATTTAACATGAATTTCCACTGTTTTTAGATCACAGATCAGTAGCAGAGACGGCCAATGAGTTGATGAGACCTTTTCTACACGAGTTTCTACAGTCCGCCTATGAGGATTATGACATTGTTATTTGGTGTACGTAATCTTTGATCTTTATATCCAATGCCTTTTGGAGAAAACAGGGGGTGTTAATTTGAGGATATCCATCTGTCTGTCTGTCACTTTTTAGTTTCCATTCATTACCTTCCCTTGAAATGGTCCAATTTCTACCAAGTTTGGTATGCACATATATAATGGCAAGACTTAGCCTATGTAGGATTGCCAACGTAAGATTTGCAAATTTACACATAATTAATGAGGTTATATCATTCTGATTGTTTAATTAGTTTTAATTCAATAACTGCCCTAAAAATGGTCAAATTTCAAACAAATTTGTTGTGCACATACATAATTGCAAGACTCTGGCTAAATTTGATCCCGAATGTGCTGCATGCATTTTTACACACAATATGTAAGGCTGATATCTGATACATGTTTGTCTCACCCTAGGGTTGAGATGGGGGATTCCCCAGTTATAACAATTAAATGAAGTCACATCAACAATGCAATTTAGCCTTTAACATTATATTTTGTATATGATACACGATGGGTGAAGAGGGTAAGAGGGGAAAAAAATTTATCACCCCCTTGAGGTAAGATGAGAAATCTCAATTCTCGAGGAAAGATTCCCCTTTCTCTTACCCTGGACAGGTGTATCTGCACTTTTACTGGTGTTAGATTTCCTTGTCTCACCCTAGGGTGCTATTTATTCATGCTATTGTTGACTGTTGTATTACATTTGTCTATACCAAGCCTGACAGCTGTTTTACTTGTCTAAACTATGGTTCACAGCTGCCACAGGAATGAAATGGATAAATGTGAAGATGAAGGAGCTGGGAGTGACAGACAACCCTAACTATAAGATCACCTTCCACCTTGACAGCAGTGCCATGATCAGTGTCCATACGCCAAAGTATGGTGTCATAGAGGTACGTAGTCACCAAAGTATGGTGTCATAGACGTACGTAGTCACCAAAGTTATAAGATCACCTTCCACCTTGACAGCAGTGCCATGATCAGTGTCCATACGCCAAATTATGGTGTCATAGAGGTATTTAGTCACCAAAGTATGGGGTTACAGGGGTACGTAGTCACCAAAGTATGGTGTCGTAGAGGTATGTAGTCACCAAAGTATGATGTCATAGACGTACATAGTCACCAAAGTATGATGTCATAGAGGTACGTAGTCACCAAAGTATGATGTCATAGAGGTACGTAGTCCCCTGAGTTTTGTGATATAGACGTATGTAGTCATCAAAGTATGGTGATATAGACGTATGGAGTCATCAAAGTATGGTGTCATAGACGTACGTAGTCACCAAAGTATGGTGTTACAGGGTTACGTAGTCACCAAAGTATGGTGTCGTAGAGGTATGAAGTCACCAAAGTATGATGTCATAGACGTACGTAGTCATTAAAGTATGGTGTCATAGAGGTACGTAGTTATGATGTCATAGACGTACGTAGTCACCAAAGTATGGTGTCGTAGAGGTACGTAGTCACCAAAGTATGATGTGATGTCATAGAGGTACGTAGTCACCTGAGGTTTGTGATATAGACGTATGTAGTCATCAAAGTATGGTGATATAGACGTATGGAGTCATCAAAGTATGGTGTCATAGAGGTACGTTGTCATCAAAGTATGATGTCATAGAGGTATGTAGACATCAAAGAATGGTGTCATAGAGGTACGTAGTCATCAAAGTATGGTGTCATAGAGGTACGTTGTCATCAAAGTATGATGTCATAGAGGTATGTAGTCATCAAAGAATGGTGTCATAGAGGTAAGAAGTCACCAAAGTATGGTGATATAGAGGTACGTAGTCACCAAAGTATGGTGTAATAGAGGTACGTAGTCACCAAAGTATGGTGATATAGAGGTACTTAATCACCAAAGTATGGTGTTATAGAGGTACGTAGTCACCAAAGTATGGTGTCATAGAGGTACTTAGTCACCAAAGTATGGTGTTACAGAGGTACGTAGTCACTAAAATATGATGTCATAGAGGTACGTAGTCACCAAAGTATGATGTTATAGAGGTACGTAGTCACCAAAGTCTGATGTCATAGAGGTACGTAGTCACCAAAGTATGATGTCATAGAGGTACATAGTCACCAAAGTATGGTGTCGTAGAGGTATGTAGTCACCAAAGTATGGTGTTACAGAGGTATGTAGGAAGTCACCTGAGTTTTGTGATATCGACGTATGTAGTCATCAAAGTATGGTGTCATAGAGGTACGTTGTCATCAAAGTATGATGTCATAGAGGTATGTAGTCATCAAAGAATGGTGTCATAGAGGTAATGGTGTCATAGCCGTACGTAGTCACCAAAGTATGATGTCATAGAGCTACGTAGTCACCAAAGTATGATGTCATAGACGTACGTAGTCATCAAAGTATGATGTCATAGAGGTACGTAGTCATCAAAGTATGGTGTCATAAACGTACGTAGTCACCAAAGTATGATCTCATAAACGTACGTAGTCACCAAAGTATGATCTCATAAACGTACGTAGTCACCAAAGTATGATGTGGTGTCATAGAGGTATGTAGTCACCAAAGTATGATGTCATAGACGTACGTAGTAACCAAAGTATGGTGTCATAGAGGTATGTAGTCACCAAAGTATGGTGTCATAGAGGTCCTTAGTCACCAAAATATGGTGTCGTAGAGGTACGTAGTCACCAAAGTATGATATCATAGACGTACGTAGTCACCAAAGTATGATATCATAGACGTACGTAGTCACCAAAGTATGATATCATAGACGTACCTAGTCACCAAAGTATGGTGTTATAGAGGTATGTAGTCACCAAAGTATGGTGTCATAGACGTACATAGTCACCAAAGTATGGTGTCGTAGAGGTATGTAGTCACCAAAGTATGGTGTTATAGAGGTATGTAGTCATGGTACTTAATCACCAAAGTATGGTGTTATAGAGGTACGTAGTCACCAAAGTATGATGTTATAGAGGTACGTAGTCACCAAAGTATGATGTCATAGAGCTACGTAGTCACCAAAGTATGATGTCATAGACGTACATAGTCACCAAAGAATGGTGTTATAGAGGTACGTAGTCACCAAAGTATGATGTCATAGAGCTACGTAGTCACCAAAGTATGATGTCATAGACGTACATAGTCACCAAAGTATGGTGTTATAGAGGTACGCACCAAAGTATGATGTCATAGAGGTATGTAGTCACGTAGAGGTACTTAGTCACCAAAGTATGATGTCATAGATAGTCACCAAAGTATGGTGTCATAGAGGTACTTAGTCACCAAAGTATGGTGTTATAGAGGTACGTAGTCACCTAAGTATGGTGTCATAGAGGTACGTAGTCACCAAAGTATGGTGTCGTAGAGGTACTTAGTCACCAAAGTATGATGTCATAGAGGTATGTAGTCACCAAAGTATGATGTCATAAACGTACGTAGTCACCAAAGTATGATGTCATAGAGGTATGTAGTCACCAAAGTATGATGTCATAAACGTACGTAGTCTCCAAAGTATGATGTGATGTCATAGAGGTACGTAGTAACCAAAGTATGGTGTCATAGAGGTACGTAGTCATCAAAGTATGGTGTCATAAACGTACGTAGTCACCAAAGTATGATGTCATAAACGTACGTAGTCACCAAAGTATGATGTGATGTCATAGAGGTACGTAGTCACCAAAGTATGGTGTCATAGAGGTA